TTGCATTATTTTAAATACATTAACAATATATATTATTTGTTAAATTAATTAGTTTTATTAAAGGATTTTTCTTAAATTTTATAGGATTTTTCTTGAATTTTTTTGCATTATTTTAAATATATTAATTAGTATATGTTGTTTGTAATATTAATTAGTTGTATTAAATGATTTTTCTTAGATTTTATAGAATTTTTGTTTAATATTTTGCATTAGTTTGAATATATTAATTAATATATATTGTTTGTAAAATTAATTAGTTTTATCAACTATCAAACGACATTTTTTTAATTTAATAGGATTTTTCTTGAATTTATTGCATTATTTCTTTACATTTTAAATTTATTGGGAAGTAAAAAATTAAAATAACTTCCATTATGGATATAATTGCAATTGTATAGATCAACCCACATATCTAATAGAAAATTCTAACGATAAGGGTGTCGGTGGTAGTTTCCATTGTTATGAAATGCACAGGTAGTTACCCGAGTTACATGGTCTGTAATGTTATTAACCTTTCAAAATTTTATAATTATTCGAGTATCTCTAATTATGTTCTTTATTTTAAAAAATATCTTTCATATAAATAAAAAACATCTTCATTAATTTTTAAATATAAAGAACACAATTTTTATTCAAATCCAATAGACTTTTTAAATTTAATGAAGATACTCTTTATTTTTAAGAAAGAGACTTAATATGAAAGATAATTAATAAATAAAATGCATAGGAACTTGTAGTTTATTAATTAAAATTAAGATAGAGAGTGAAATTTGACTCTCTAAATGTGGAGAGTCAAATTCACTCTCTAATTTATATTTTAAAGATAAAGAATCTGTTGGACTCTTATTTTTATGGATAGACTCTTTATAATAAAGAGTTATTTGGAGATGTTCTTCTATGATTGATCATTAGTTCGTATATAGTTACTAGTTTATATGATGGCAGTGCTTTCAATCTTATATAATTACTCTTTTATGTTGGAAAATTATTATCATCAGACGAGATATTATAAAATAAGTTTTTACGACGATATTTTAATATTGTTGTATAAGATCTTTTTTTTTTTTTTTTTTTTTTTTTTTTTTTTTGTAGTGATTTGCAAATTGTTTACAAAAGATTATCTTCCAATCTAAAACATTTTTTTATAAAATTTTAAATTAAAATTAATTGTAATATTTTATGTTAAATTTTATTGTTGTTAGCTTGATAAAATCAATCTTTGCTCATAATAGTGTAACATATTATATAGAAAAAATGTTTAAAATATTAAATATTATAATATAACACTCAATATAAAAATGAAAAATTATTAAATAAAATATGAATTCTTTTTTCTGATTAATTTTCCAATAAAAATATGCTTACGATTATAATATCAATAAACTTAGTAATATTTATAAAAGTAAATTTAAAAAGCAGTTTATTATTTTTATAAATTTCATAAAGCGTAAAAATAATTTCTAGAAATAAAATATTTTTGGTCAAGTTGTTAGATTATCATTAGCCACCGAGAATCCAGATGACATTATTGTCGTGTCGATGCTCAACAACACCAATATATTGATCAAAGACAATGGCAATGAGAAAAAACATAAAAACTTGATTATTGGGTCACATACGCATGTATCTTCTGTTGTATGTGGCCAAACAATCAAAACCAATGTTAGGGGTAAAATTACTATTACTTGTTATGCTTACAAAAGCCAGGACTGACATGGACTTTCATCAGCAAAAGCTAATCAGAATTCAGAGAGGCTTTGTGTCATCTAGACGTTGCCACGTTGCGCAATGATAGAAGATGTATGATTCTCGTCAATGCAGCAGGTGAATGTCAGGCTTGCGAGAGGCTAGGAATCGTCCACCTGCCCAAAGCCTTACGCAATTTAAGGATATCTCTTGTACAGACAACCAATAAGAAGCAGGTTAGGAATTGTACCCACCTGCCGGACTGTAGGCTCATGATTATTATCTTGAATCCTCCCACTATAAATAGAAGAATCCTCTCTCATTTACGGGATGGGCTTATCTTTAGTCTTAAACAACACACACACACACACACACACACACTCTCTCTCTCTCTCTCTCTCTCTCTCTCTCTCTATATATATATATATATATATATATATATATTCTTTAGATTGTAACTCAGCTCGTTACATACGACCAGACTATAACTACCTATTAATACAACTACAGTGGATGTAGGAATCGTTTTTGAGCATCCGAACTACTTTAAAAATGGTCTTTTATTTATTCTCTTGTTGTCTATTTCCATATCACGTGTAACTTCTAAGCCCGCTTAGCATTTTGCACGTGTGAGTCGTTGGTTTAAAAATTAAGCATCAACAGTTTGACACTAGAAGGAGGGCCTAATTTAGTATCTGCTCTTCATCAGAAACCTTTGACCAATCGGTCTTATCGGCAAATGGCTCGCGGTTTTGAAACTGAGCGAACTGACTTTGATAGTGAGGTAATCCCCCGGGTATAGGATGACACTTCTCTCGAAGTGCAGCTAGTCCAACAGAGTATCATGGCGGATATTCCTTCAACCTCACAGCTCAACCCAGCCGTGATGAGTTGCCTGGAGAGGTTCAATAATATTTTCAAAACGGTTAGCCAAAGGCTGGACCGTTTGGATCGGGTCATGCCGCCAAAGTCCCATGAAGCGGTGCCACCACCAAAGACTCTTACAGGTCACGCGAAAGCGTGAAAAAGGGCAAAAGCTCGTACCGTGCGCACAAGTAAAGGAAAGTAAGTGGCGAGCAGTGGACCGAAGGGCTCCGAGAGACCAGCAACACCGGTAGTGCAACGGGCAGAATACTCATGGAATTACTATTCGGCGACATGTCGCAGCATAAGTAGTCTCACGCCACGTCGCATGGGCAACAAGAGAGCAAGGCATGGAGATTCTCAATATCGTCGAAATGATGACCTCGACCGTCATCATGCGGGAAACCCCTATCGTCTGCGGGTCGGTTCGGACCACCACAAAGATCGAAAAAACTCCCCAAGCCATTCAATGCCTTCACACGGCCCCAGCCAGCGTGTGTCAAGGTTCACTGGAGCTTCTAGCCGAGTTGAGAAAGAGCCCGATTTGCTGTCTTTCCTCAACCACAACCATGAGGGTCGAACCCACGTTGCAAAAAGTGATCCCCAGGCAGCTTTGGTACCTCAGATTGAGGAACTATAACGAGCTTTGGATCAACTTAAGGCTCAACAGAATGAGTGTGGGAAGGTCGCAGAGACGTCTCCCTTTTCTCCAACAGTTTTAGCTGCTCCTTTCCCATCGAGATTCAGAATGCCCGACATGCGGGCATTCGATGGGAATTCAGATCCTAAAGATCACCTTTACGAGTTCAACAACCTCATGGAACTCCACCAAGTCTCTGACTTGGCCAAATGTCACGACTTAGCAGTAACCCTAATTGTCTATGTTAAGCGCTGGTTTAAGTCGCTTCTCGCGGGATCAATCAGCTTATGGCATCAAATGAGCTCATTATTCCTAAGACACTTCCAGACGAACAGGAAGTTTTCGATGCCGTTGAGCTACCTGAGCAACATACGGCAAGAGAGGGATGAATCCCTCCAGTCTGACATAGACAGATTCCACAGGGAACTCCACAAGGTGGCTTATACTCCCAAGGAGTCCGTTCGAACTCTCATTATCGCGAGGGTTCGTCAGCAGACTGACTTGTGGAAGGAACTACAATCCGAGGACGATGTTTCCCTCACTTGCTTCTACAACCTCACTGAGAAATACCTCTGAATTGAAAATTCTGTGGCCGCTCTTAATCGCCACGACCCGGTCCCTCGAGCATTGCTCTCGATTGGGGAGAGAATAGTAGAAGGGCTGATCGTAGATAGGCTAATGACGATCAGCGAATAGGAACGAAGCAGCGATTTGAGTCCAAAAAATCTTATGCCCCAATTCCTCGTCACGATCGTGACAAAAGATAATACACTCCTTTGAATGCCTCAATGTTGGCTATTCTGGATAAGTTAGAGAAGGTCAGCTTGCTCAAAGAGCCAGAGCCTATGAAAAATCCTCCCTTAGCCAGAAACAACAAAAAATATTGCCACTATCGTCGGGATAATGAGCATCACACCGATAAGTGTCGGGCTCTCAAGCAAGAAATCGAAGGCCTCATCAAGCAGGGGCACTTCAAAGAATATGTCGATGATTCGACTCCCGTTCAGGAAAAGGATCAAGAGGAACAAGAGAAGAAACGTCGTGGTCGGGAACAACGACTAGGATTGGGGTATATGTGCGATTGCCTAGTCTTAACTATGGATGAGCGGGTTTGGGCACCCAACCCAAATTCTGGGAATCGGAATCAAACCCACACAGTATCAATTCCTGGGATATAGGAACTCGTACTGTACAGTTACTAAATCATAGGAATCGAAACCGAAACAAACAAGTTCCTGTTTCAGTTCTGAGTACCTTGCGTAGAGTGTATATAAATTGAAAAATTCGCCATGTTAGCATTCTGCAATACAATTACCAAAACAACACACTCATTTTCCCGAAAAACCACAAGAAAGTTCACATAAAAACAACATTTTTTTTCCCAAACATTTATCGCACCTCAAAGAAGCCCTGGTGGGGCTGGTAGTAGTACACTGTATGGGACGGAGTAAGGGCCCCTGTCACCTCATACAAGTCGTCCGGCAAAAAGACTTTCTAAGTGGGGTAAAAGAACTTGGTGATAGGGCAACCAATTATTGTCCTAGTTGAAGTGATAGGGCAAAACATAATTTAATTTTCAAATATTTAAATTTTAATATTTATCAAGTTATAAAATAATTAAAATTCAAATAAATTACTGCAAGAGTAAAGTAGAGAAAAAATTTGAAGCAGGGAAAAAGTGGACATTTCTGCCAAAGAAATGTCCATGCCGTCATCAATGTGTATAGGAGGAATAATTTACCTTCAAAGCCCAGTAAAAGTTAATTAACAGTCGAACCTAGGCATATAAGCAGCAAATTTATTAATTTATCTTCAACAAATACATTAGTCTTGAGACAACTAAAGACTTGATTTATTGCGTGCGTGTGTTCGAATACAAATGAATGGACCAAGTAGTTTGTACTAAATATACAGTCATCACTTCCACATAATCAAATGTTCTTCACCTAAAATTTCTCCACTTAATTCAATCAATAAGTTTGATGGTGAACTAAGCTTTCTCATACAATCATCTCCTTAAAATCATTCCTCTACACTGTTAGTATCTGCAGATGGTGCCCATATTTCCTCCAAACTTAGCGTAAATTCCTTTTCTCTACCAAAAATTACAGTGTTGTGATCCGCATTTGGAATGATTTTGACCTGTGCATCTGCTACCTTCTTCTTAATGTAAATACTACACCCCACAGGAACAACCTCATCCTTATCACCTTGAATAACACAGACATTCACTCCATTTGCAACCAGAATTTTCAAATAATCATCGTTATATTTTGCACCACCACATATCACATTGTGCATACTATGCCACGCCGAATGATGGGTGTGCTTCGTCAGGTCCATAACCAGGAAGGGGAGATCCCTGTAAAGAGAATGAGAAGCTTAGTACAGAGGACTGGGATTTATTGTTTTTGTGTAGTTTTATCATGCAATTGAGATTGGTACCTTTTCCGAGTAAGTAGCTTAAGTATACTCTCCCACATCCTGTGATTCCGGCAAAAAAGGAAACAGATGCATCGACCCAAGTGCTCATACCAGGACATTACTGATGATCCAAACAATAATGGTGGCCACAATCTCCTCTTAGCAAGCCTATTAAGGACAGTGAAACTTGCTCCATCTTCTGAACAGGGCAAGACTGGCTAAAAGGAAAATTTAAATACAGTTAGTTTTACAATGATAAACAAAGGAAAAGCTTAATGGCTTGTTTATATAATCATATATAGCACAAACACATTGTTTGACCAAAAAGTAATGCAGGTTGTCTCAAATCTAAAATTGTCTATTAACATGTGAAGATGCATTTTCTTATGGGTTGTTATCAATATTCAAATCTACCATATCAAATTATCAACTTACTGGTGCTACCAGAGTGACTGATTTAACAAACTTTGCATACTTTGCAGATACAGCCAATGCGATTATGCAACCCATGGAATGTGCAACCAAATGGAAGGACTTCAAATCAAATGGAGTAATTACAGATTTCTCAATCATTTCCAAGTGATCTCTCAGTGTGTACAAGCTATCTCTTGGCTTCGGACTTCTTCCGAAACCCAAGAGGTCAGCTGCAAACAGTTTGTAATTATCCTTCACATGGTTGGAATGATTTTTAAACACTGTCTCTGTCCAAATTGAGGAAGAACCGAGGAACCCGTGTAAGAATATCACATTTTCGGTTGGATTTCCCCTTGTATCCTCAATGGAGGCTGCCAAACATAAAAGGGCAATAAGATAATAAACCGTCTTGTATCAATTCAATAGCAACATCAGCAATTGCAAACTACTGAATATAATACAATTTCAGAAGATGCACATGTTATATATAGATTAAAGAGTAGGCTTTCAGCGTAACCAATGTTCAATGAAATCGGAACAGGATTCTGGTGTGTCAGTGTCCAAATTCTGAAACCTCCCAGAAAATGCATTTAAAGGCAAATCACAAACAAGTAATGGACCGGAAATTTCACTTTCAACAAAGCACACTTCAAACATTTGAAAATCAATAAAAGCTACCATTTTTGACATGCACATTTAAACAAGCTACATTGGTGATTTTTTCAACGATAGAATAATTTTAGCCTTTTTAATACCCAGAAATCCCTTTTTCATATCTTCACGGAATTGTCAATTCGGAACTACTGCTGGATCCTAGCTACCACAAAAATCACTAAAAGTTACTCACCGCTGACTCTTGTTTAAATCAAGCTAGGCCTTAACCACTCAAGAATTTTACCAGAGAGATGTCATAATATTCAATTACTTGCCAAGTAATGGTTGACTAAATGAAAAAAAAGAAAAAACCAGCAATTTGTCTCTTGAAATCTTTATACTTCTGTTACCTATATGAAACTATACATAATTGAGCATAATTTAGTCACTAACATTTTTTATTTGCAGAATCTAACATGCATTTATCTGAAACAAACAATTGCTAAACTTATGAATTTCTTATCACTCAATTAATAATTTTCTCATCAACCAAACAAATCAAGTACATCCATAACATTCCAATTTAACAAGAAATTAAACATAAGCAAACCAAAAATCTCGGAAACATAACCATGAAAACAGAATTCAAAAGTTAAATTTAAAGAAGAAGAATAAATAAAACTACATTGTGAGGGCTCCTTCACCACAACATGAAGTTTCTGATCGCCAATCTTCATCCAAGAAACACAACACTCACACCCACAATCAGACCACCTATGCGTCACGTGACCTCCTACTTTCTTGGAACAACAATGTTCCTCCCGTTTTCTGGCAAACTGAAGAAACCCCATTTCTCTAAAAACGTTTCTCCTCCCACACAGAGTCTCTGATACCTCAACATCTTCTAGCTCTCTAGTGTTTTCACAGTAACAGCGGGAGGGCTTGCCTTCAAAGTAGTGGTCAAGAAATCTAAAAAGTAGGCAGAGAAAAGTTTCAAGAAAGTCAAGAAATAGAAAGACGATGAAACTGAGGGCAATGTGGAAGGTTGTGGCGGATTCTTTTGCCCATTTTGGCGGGGAAGTTGGTAGAGACATTGTGAAAGAGTTGAGAAAGGGAACTAATCAAGTGAATTCAAGGGGATGGTTTTTTAATCATGCAATTGCTACGGACACCAAAAAATTACACCGAAATCGTGTACCGCCTACGTGTACACACCTCTCATTTTTTTATAATTTTTTTCTAGTGAACGGCCGTCCATCAAATTTGGACGGCCATTCACTCACATGACACCCGTCCTATTATATGGACGGGCGTCCATATACAAGGGACGGCGTCCCTATTTAAAGACGCCCGTCCATAAAATTTTAAATAAAAAAAAAAAAAAAAAACTTTGGGACGGCCGTCCATAAATTATGGACGCTGTCCCTTACATTTGGACGGCGTCCATTCCTAATGGACGCCCGTCCATACTTAAAAAAAAAAAATGTTTGGACGGCGTCCATTTCTAATGGACGCCCCCCATTTTTTAGTTTCTACAAATTAAAGAAAAACTTTGGATGGGACGGGCGTCCATAAGGAATGGACCTCGTCCATTACTTACGTTTTGGTGAAATTTTTCCAGATACAATCTCATGCAGTATCTCCTGCACATCATCAGCCAACTTTTTGACGTCCTCCGGCCAGTATAGTATGTTTGCATCCTGGTTGAAGTTCTGTAGCTTATCCTTATTCTCTTCATCACTGCTGACTTCTCCGAAAATCTTAAACTTTTGCCTCCCCCAAAAAAACACAGTGAATGAAGACGAAGAAGTAGACGCGAAGTTCTGCACCTTCTTCACTTGCCTCCATGGAAACTTTATTGCATCCATTTTGATTTAACATGTTAGACTTCAAACACATTGACTTAAGACTTTCAACACATGCCAGTATAGTACAGTTCAGCGAATTTCTGGAAAAAGAATGAAAACTTTCAACACATTGCCAGTATACTTCAGTTCAACAAATATTCATGAAAAAGAAGTGAAAGACTACTTTCATGGAAGACTAAAATAATGGACGGGCGTCCATTAGAAATGGCCGCCCTCCAAATATTTTTTTTTTTTTTTAAGTATGGACGGCGTCCATTAGGAATGGACGCCCGTCCAAACATAAGGGACGGCCGTCCATAATTTATGGACGGCCGTCCCCAAAGTTTTTTTTTTTTATTTTTAAAATTTCTTTATGGACGGGCTGTCTTTAAATGGGACGCCCGTCCCTTGTATATGAACGCCCGTCCATATAAATGGACGGCGTCCATGTGAGTGAATGGCCGTCCAAATTTGATGGACGGCCGTTCATTAGAAAAAATTGTAAAAAAAATGAGAGGCGTGTTACACGTAGGCCGGTACACGATTTCGGTACAGTTTTTTCGGTGTCTGTAGCATTATTGTTTATCATTATGTACGTCAATATGGAAAGACTCGTTGGTGGTAGTAGAGTGCCACGTCACCCAATATTCTTATATAAATATTTCCTTAAAACCAAAACCATTTTCTTATATTTAAGTCGGCGAACACATGCACCCACCTAAGGTTTGAAGTAAAGACAATGTGGTACCAGGTGTTTAGAAAAGACAATGTATTTTTGGACATTCTCTGTTAAGGATTTCCGTCTATTAGAGGTAATACTACTTAAAAGACTAATGGCCTTAAAATTTTACCATGGCAATTAATATTTTTTTTTCTTCTCTGCCGTTCGGTTTCCATTTCTTCTTCTCCATCATTCTTTTTTGCTTCTCATTTTTCTCTTCTCCTTTGGTCTCTGTTGATGAAATAGATGGACAAAATTGCTCTTTTTCGTTTTCCTTCTTCTTCGCCATTCTGAAATCTTCATTAATTGAATGGATTTCATTAAATCCATTAACAAGCTGACAAACCAAACCCTAAAACTAACCACCAAAATCTTCCTGCTTTACCATTTGCTGCTGTAGCTGTTGGTTTTACATATTGGCGGCAAGAAAAGCACAAGGATATTTCTTTGATTTCTGTTTCAGGCTTTTCCTGATGCTCTTTTTCATCAGTTATCATAGCAATGGCTCGTCTAGACCTAAAACCAAAGCGGCCAATCCAAAAGCCAAAGTAACTGTGGGTGAAGACGACATCTCTTATGTAATCGATGAGCGCCATTTGGTTCAAATACAGTACACGGAGACACCAAAGGTGAAGCCACTAAAATTGGCGCAACCGTACGCACCGTTTAGGCCCACCACGATGTCGCGACCGTGGACTGGGCGAGCCCAATGCCCGCGAGTAAAAAAAGTTAAGGAGTTTGACTCGTTTGAATTGCCGCCACTAACAAAAGGGAGTGAACACTAGTGCAGAAGCCGGGTCCCTATTTGCCCGAAAGTGGACCCAGGTACGTATCTCGAGGGAGGAAATTTTGGGGAGCCCTCAACCAAAGAGGAAGTTGAGGAGCTAGTTCACTCGTGCATCAGTCAAACCGGTAGTTGAATATTGGTAATTCATTTTTATTTTGTTTTAGATTCGTTGTTGAAGACAAAGCTACAATAATGTTTGCAGGTAGAGTGGTTTGACACATAACATTGGATAATATTCATTCTTATTGGAAATGGGGAGAGTGTGCAAGATTAAGTGCAAAGGAGTCTGTACAGTCGACATGGACAATTTGTGCCAGCAATTAGAGGTTTGTTCATCTTGTTGCTAAAGAATATGATAATTTTGGGGTGCTTGGATATTGTTGTTTGATTAGTAAGTTGTTCTATCTTTCATGATTTGGCAGGAAAGAACAAGAGGGAAGATAATTTATAGACGAGAGGGTGTTATACCTTTTAGAGGCAGAAACTATAACTACAGGCTCGTCCGCTTTTTCCTCTTATGCTGTGGAAGCCTGCTACTCCTGTATATTTGAGGTTGATTAAGAGGGCTCCAGAGGGTCTAAACCTGGAAGAAGCTTCTGAAATGCGCAAAAAGGGAGGACTCTGATACCAAAACAAGAGCATCATTGTGGGTTGAAGGAGGATATATTGACCAAAAGTGCGGTGAAGAACACTGTTCTGAACGTGACAGACGAGGAGAGAAGAATTGAGGAAAAGAGGAGAAAAGAGATTTTGTGGTTCTAAAGATTTTATTCTTAGGTTGGTATAATCAAACTATCTGACGTGATCTAAATATTGTGTGTTCTCTGGGAAATCAGAAAGTTTGATGAGTTAATGGCTGCTACTGTAGAAGGCCCTGGAAAATCAAGAGCAGAGTTGAGCTAGCTTTTTAGATTTTACTTGGATGTAGCTTGTTCTTAAGTTCGTTAATTATGGACTTCTGTAATGGTTTTTTCTAGATGAACTTTTATCAAGTGAAGTTTTCTAGTAGTAACACAATTCTTGTAGGATTTTTGTAAAATTCAATGCCCTCGGTTGCTTAATTCAAATGTGTTCTAAAGTTTATGTAGCCTTCTCTGTTCACAATGGTCTGTTGGTGTTGGTTTGTTTATGGTTAAGCATGATACTTGACATCATCTTTAACTCATTGTTGACCACCATAGTGAAAATAAGGGTTATATGCCATCATTCTTTCATGTTAAACTCACTGGCTCAAGGGTAATGAGAAAAATATCTTTCATTAATACAGATTGCCTATGAACGCAAAAAATTGTAACCTAGAAAAACTTGTGTTTCAACTACAAAATGAAGTTACTCACCCTTAATTACATAGGTTTACTATATGATAGATTTCCAATATCTTGGTGTACACAAGTACTACAATGTATTTGCAAAATTAAGTAAGCAAAGATTTGTCCTTGTATTGATAGCAAAAGTTCAACTGAAGGTATACAAAAAATGCAGCACAACTAAAATGTTTAATTTGGTGCTGAAGCAATTTACAAGATGCTTCTATTAGCATCTCCAAAAAGTTGCGTAAGTCTTGAAGTGTGGCATTACCTCTTTGAAATCTTGAACAACATGGTATTTGTGGCTTCACGAATCTGATGACTGGAAAAATGTATAGACAAAGAGATGCTACACCATACAAACAACCATTTCTTATTGTCAAAACCAAATCAAATGACAAAGAAAATCATCATCAAACACAAACCCCAGTCAAAATCAATATTGCAAATATACTACCCAAAGACAACAAGTGCTACACAAAACACTATGCCCAATTTTCATACCACAAGTTAACCTGCTGCTCAGCAAACAAAACCACCCATTTCATCAATGACTTGGTTGACCTATTAGATGAGTAAGAATAAGGTTGTGACAGTAAAAGTAATAGGCATAATACATGGTTTAAAACAGTTTTAAGTACCCCTTGAACTTGAAGCTTGTGACAAAATTGACTTCTGAGTTGAAGAAGGCATTGAAGATGCTGCAAATTGAGCTGCTGAAGAGGGTGCGGTCATTGTGCGCACAAATGTTCGCTACAAAACGAAAAAAAGGAACAATATTAGTATGATAATCATTGGAAAAAATTATGATGAAATGGACATTTTACTATACCTTCTGCTTTTTCCTTTATTTGCATTTGCTGGATTTTTTTTGCAAGACCTTTTGTTATGGCCCATGACATTGTAGACACTCATCTAAGTAGAAACCCTTTTACTTTTTGGCTCTTCAATTGGGTCTCTCCTTCTTGATTGGGAGGTTTACCAGGCTTGGGTTGCTTGGTTGGTGGCCAGATTTTTTCATCACTGACCTCTGGCCAACTGGTCTTGTCGGGGACAGGTGATCATGTCTGCATAAGTTTGCAGGTACATTGGAATTCTAAGCTTCTGATCAACATGTTCTTCAAAGTTGGAGACGTTTCTGTGTAACAAACAACTTATAACATACACAGGAATACCCGATAACTGCCACATGCCACAATCACCACCTGGTTACCCAAAACTAGCACACGTTTTCGCTCTTCCTTGTTATCAAACACCTCAAACTCATCAAATCCAAGGTACTGCATTGACATTTCTAGCTGACTCAATCAACTTGTTAATCTTTCTATGAACCACTGGTGGAAGAGTTGTAACCATTTTGTACCGGCTTCGAATCTACATTGTAATCGTTTCATCAGCCTACATCGGTAAAGCTCAAGTAGACTTGTATGGGAAGTTCCCTATCTTCACC